TTTTGGAGTCCTTCCCAAAAATCCGGGATTCGTTTCTGGAGTCCTTCCCAAAAATCCGGGATTCGCTCCTGCAGCCCTTCCCAAATCCCGGCTTTGCTCCGGGGGTCCAGGACAATTCCCCCCAAAGCCCCCCCCGGGGCCGGGATGTCCCCCCGGTGTTCTGGGGGTGCCTTTGAGGTTTTTTTCCTCAGGTTCTCCTGGAGAATTCGCCGAATTCCCGGGAATTCTGCCCCTTAACCCCCCCAAACCCCGGGCCCGCCCCTGCTGAGGTCCCTTTGTCGCGGCCCCATCGCGATTCTCCCGGGCCCACGGGGACACTCCCGAGGTCACCCGGGTCACCTGCCCGGGCCAGGTGAACTTTCGGGGCAGCCTTTGATGCCGAGAGCGCCGGAATTCCAGCCCAGCTCTCCCGCGAGCTTCGCTCTCTTTTAATTATTATTTTATTTTTTTTTTTTTTTAACCTTTCTTTGTTAATTATCAAATTGTCGGGGGGTCCTGCTGGGAGATCATTGTCACCTTCCTGGGCCACAGAGGGGCCACCACCCCTGGTGCTCCTTTTGGAGCAAAATTCCGAGTTTCCCGTGGATTTATAACTTTTAAACCCTGCCAGGCACAGGGTGGGATTTTTTTAGGATGTCCTGGGCAGGGCCAGGATGATTCTGGAGGGTTCGGGATGTTTTGGGACCCTCAGCGGCCGCGGATCCCAAGGGGATGCGTGAACCCCAAAGTGGGAATCGCTCGCTGAGCCCCTCCCGTGGATCCCGAGGAACATTTGGGATCAGCACGTGAGGAAAACTCGGGAGCTGGAAAATCCCGGAATCCCAGGTGGGAAAAGGAGGGAAGGACTCGGCCCAGGCTCGCCGGGAAGGGGCAGGAAAGGGACAGAGCAGCCCAAAATCCCCAAAAAATGACCCGGGATTTGACCCAGAGCCGCCCTCTGAGCGCCCTTTTCCAGCCGGGAATGCCTCAAGGAGAGTCCCGGGGGAGCCCTCCCCATCCAGCCCCGGGAAAAATCCCGAGGTGTGAAATTCCCGAGCCGGCTCTTTCCCAACCCTGGGGCTCGGGGCAGCTTTTCCAGCAGCTCCAGAGCAGGGACGGGAGAGCTGGGAACGCTCAGCACCCCCTGCCCGGGGAGCGTCGGGCTGGAATTCCACGGGCTGGGCTGGAATTCCCTCGTGCCCGTGAGGAGAAATTCGGGAATTTTCAGTCCTTAAAGAACCCCAAATCTCCCGGGAAAGGGAGAAGTGATGGGGAGGGAGAATCCGGGCACCAGGGAATCCATCCCAGCCGTGCAAAAAAAACCCAAAAAAAACCCCAAAAAAACCCAAAAAACCCCAAGGGATCGGGGCTGGAGAAAAGCGCTGGGGGAGCTGGGCCGAGCCGAGCCGGGCTGAGCTGGGCTGGGCTGGGCTGAGCTGGACTGAGCTGGGCTGAGCTGAACTGGGTTGGGGGAATGCAGAACAGGGCTGGGGGGAGGCAGAGCAGAGCCGAGCCGGGCCGTGCTGAGCCGGGCCTGGCAGAACCTAGCCGGGCCTGGCAGAACCGAGCCGGGCCGTGCTGAGCCGGGCCTGGCAGAGCCGAGCCGGGCCGGGCCGGGCCGGGGGGAGGCAGAGCCGCCTTTAATCCCGCTCGGGGCTCGCAGCGCTGAGTGTGCAGCCCTGGGACGGGCGCGATTCCTTTGATTCCCTTGGCAGCTCCGGGGTGGGAGGATTTCATCAGAAAACACGGGAGGCTCCAGTCCTGCCCTGGAACAGCCCCCGGACATTCTGGCCACGGCAGCAGCCAAGGGAGGCACCGCCTGCTCCACGAGTTTCAAGGAAGCTTTCCCGGCCCGGGAGCTTTGCCCAGCTTGCAGAATCCTTGGCTCCAGCCGGATCCTCCATCCAGGCAAAGGCTCGGAGGTTCCTGCAGGTAAATTCTGCCTCCCTGCCCCCTCCTGGGATGCAGCAGGAACCTGCACGTCCCGGGAAGCCACCCAGAATTCCAGGATGGAGCCTCAGCTCCACCACGAGGAGCATTCCCAGGGACACAAACACCGGGAGAGCCTCGGATCCAGGCCCTGGGGTGGAGAAACACAAAAAAAAAGGGAATTTCTGCTTGGGACGGATGGATAAACACAAAAAAAAAGGGGAATTTCTGCTCAGGACAGGGAGCTGAAGATGCACCAGGGAGGGATCCTTGGGGAATTTGGCCTTTCCACAGGGTTGGAATATCCCAGCTGGAAGGGACCCACAGGGATGACCAGAAGAGATCCCAGGAAGGAAAACATCCCTGGCTGTGTCCCACGGGGATGGAGCTCCACGTGTCGGGATCCAGGCAAACCCTCCCTGGCTCGTGCCCTTGGGGTGACTCAGACTTCCCTCAACCCCTGCTCCCCTCTGGAATCCTCAGCATCCTCAAGGAGCCAGGGACACCTGGAGGCTGCTCAGAGTGTCCCCAGAATTCCTGAGATTCCCTTTTCCACTGGAAGACATTCCCCACTGGGCAGTGCAAAGTGGATTGGGAGATGGGAAGCAGTGGATGCTGCTCCTGTTGGGATTCTGATTCCTTTGGGATTCTGATCCCATTTGGGATCCTGATCCCGTTTGGGATTCTGATCCCATTTGGGATCCTGATCCCGTTTGGGATTCTGATCCCGTTTGGGATTCTGATCCCGTTTGGATTCTGGGAATGCCCCCAGGTGTCCCCCAGAGCAGGGGCAGGTCTGAGCCAGTCCAGGTGTCCATCTCCAGGGATACCCGAGGAAATCAGGCTGGAAGTGGAGCTGACAGGGAACTCCCTCCTCAAACCCCTGGAGAAGCTGGAAAGGTCCAAGGCTGGCACTGGAATCCAAGGCTTGGCCCCAAACCCGTCCGTGCTCATGGAAAACTCCCCGGCCTGGCCTGGATTTTCCATGAGCTCTGCAGAGCTCGGGATGTCTCATCCCGGCTGTCTCAGAGCCCAGGAAGGTTCCCGGCCCCAGTCCTGGCGTGTCCCCATTCCCAGCTGGAGCGGGATGTGACACCGGGGTCATCTGGCACCGACCCTGCGGGGCCCTGGGCCGGCTCCAGCCTCGGGATCGGGAATTTCTGCACCTGGAGAAGATCCCGGGCAGAGCCAGGGGCTGAGGGCTGGGAAATACCCCGGGAAATATCCCGGGAAATATCCCAGGTGCTTTTCCCGGGACAGGAGCCAGCGCTGGTCACTGCTGGTGGCTTTGGCTCGTGCCAGGACTGGCCTGGAATGAGCCCAGGACCAGGAGGGGACACCCAGAGGGTCCCAAGGGCCGGGAATTGTCCTGGCTCTGCTCCAGTGGGAAGGGATTCGGCTCTGGGAACACGCAGGTGGCACCACGGGGGTGACACCAAAGCAGTGACACCAAGGCAATGTCACCACAGCAATGGCACCAAGGCAATGTCACCTCTCCCTCCATTCCCTTCCCCCGTGGGATTTTCTCAGAATTCCCAGAGCAGCTCCCGGAGCTTCCCCAGCCCCGAACACCCTCGGGCAGCCCGGGGGGATTTTGGGGTCCGGGACAAAGCCAGGCCGGGGTTGTCCCCAATGTTCCTTTGGGACCTTCCTGGAGCTTCCCACAGCGAAATTCCCAATCCATTTCCCAATTTCCCAATTTCCCCGCTCCCCTGCAGCCCCTGGAAAAGGAGGAGGCTCCGAGCTGGAGCCGCCCCGGCTGCAGGTGCTGAGGATGAGGAGCAGGATGGGAGGAGGGAGGAGCCGCTCCGGGAACTCCGGGAACTTTGGGAACGTGTTTTTCCAGAGGTTTCCCAACCCTGCCCGGCTCAGAGGCCTCTGGCTCCCCCGTGGGTCCCCCAGGAATTTAACAAGAAGAAGAAAATGGGAACATGGGGGCCGTAAATTGGATTTCCAGGGGGGAAATATTCCCGGGGAAATAAAAGCAAACCTGCATCCAGAAGGGGATGAAGGGATTTGTTCCTGCCTGGATCCCACAACTTCCCCAGCCAATCAAAGAACTGGAAACAAAAATAAATCAAACCTAGAGAATGATTTAATGGAGGGGAGAGGGGCAGGAGCTCCAACTGGATCCAGTTTGGATTCCCAAATTCCCAAATTCCCAAATCCTGGCGCCTCCCCCTGCCCAGCTCTCCCCGCCGGGATTTGTGGCGATCGCTCCCAAATCCCTGCTCGGCTTCCAGCGCCTTTTCCCTCTCAGCCGGGGCATCCTCTCATTATCCCGCGGGGAAATTTGCAATTAATTAATTAGCCCAGTCTGAGAGGGCTGAGAAAACGCGAGTTCAATGATTGCCGTCAAAGGTTTATATCTGGCATTGTTCAATTATTGCCATTAAATGTTTATCTAGGATTGCCGGCAGGGTTTGGGGTTTGGGAGAGATTAAGGAACATTTCCTGTCTGGAAGGGATTTGTCCTCCTGGGGAGAACTCCGAGCTGGGAGGGATTGGGACAATGAATAAATTAAGATGTTTGGATTTATTTTTTTGGTTGGTTTGTTGGGGTTTTTTTTAATAGGAAGCAGCTCTGAGGGGGGGAATGGGAACACCGGGATGGGTCAGAGGAGCTCCCAGAGAGGTTTGGGCACGGGATGGGGAAATTCGGAATGTGGAGAACGCCCAGAGCAGCAGGTCCTGCCCAGAGATTCCTGCAGGGAAATGCAGAAAAATCCGGAACAAACCCAGAGTAAATCCGGGACAAACCCAGAACAAACCCAGATCGACCCCAGAGCAGAAATCCCGGCCGGATTCATCTCGGGTGCCGAGGAACCCTCAGGGGATCCGGGGTGTGACGAACCCTCCTGGTTTATCTGGGGCTGTGTAACCCTGCAGGACTAATCAGACATTAATCAAGCATCCCTTAATTAATTCCTCTAATGGCATCCAGGCCTTGTTTTCCCTCTGGAGATGGGGAACCCCACAGTGCCCGAGGGAGCCGGGGCAGGGCTGGGTCCCCAGGATTTGTGACCTGTCCCTGTCACTTGTCCCTGTTCCATCCCTGTGTTCTGTTCCCTGTTCCCTGTCCCCTGTCCTGTCTCTGTGTCCTGTGCCCTGTCCCTTTTCCATGTCCCTGTCCCCATCCCTGTTCCCTGTCCTTGTTCCCTGTCACTTGTCCCTGTCCCCTTTCCATGTCCCTGTCCCCATCCATGTCCCTGTTCCCTGTCCCCTGTCCCTGTCCCCTGTTCCCTGTCCCCATCCCTGTTCCCTGTCCCCATCCCTGTTCCCTGTCCCCTTTCCCTGTCCCTGTCCCTGCCCACGTCCGCGGTGCCGTGACCTGGATTCCTGGCCGGCAATGTCGCAATCCGGGGACATTGCGCTGTTTACCGGGAGCCCCGCGCGGTGCCACCCTGGGATGTGGCACAGGGGACACGTGGAGGTGGCCGAGCCTCGGGCCGGGCTCAGCCTCATCCAGAGGCCGCAGAGTGGGATGAACCCTCTGGATTTAGGGACGAAGAGTTAAAAACAGCTCTGGAGAGGGCCCGGAGAGCTCCCAAAAAGCGCTGCCAGCGGCCTCGGGCCGCTCTCCTGCCCACGCCGCGAGCAGAGGGCGGCGCTTCCCGAAATATTTCCTGGGGGAGATCCAAATCCCCAAAAGCCGCGGCCTGGAGACGCTCCAGGGCTTTGGGTTTGGCTTCTCCAGAGCCGGCCCGGGGCTGCAGCTCCTGGTGCCGATCCAGACCCTCCAAACTCCCCCGGGCCCGTCCCTGTCCCGTCCCTGTCCTGACCCGGCCGCTCCCGGGACAAGGAAAGCGATCCCGCACATCCCACAGATCCCGCACATCCCACACATCCCACACATCCCACAGATCCCGCACATCCCACAGATCCCGCACATCCCACACATCCCACAGATCCCGCACATCCCTCAGATCCCACAGATCCCACAGATCCCGCACATCCCACAGATCCCACACATCCCACACACCCCACAGATCCCACAGATCACATCCCACAGATCCCGCACATCCCACAGATCCCGCAGGGTCCCGGCGCTTTTCCCCACCTGCCAGGCTGATCCACACGGAATTAAAACCTCAGCTTAATTAAAAGTCCGAGTTTGGAGTTTTGATCAGTCAGAGCCCGGTTCAGATCCGGGTTTAAATTCGGTTTAATTCCATCGAGTTCGGCGCTCCCGGGGTGAATTAAACCCGACCGCATCAAAGCGGGGTTAATTCCCAATAAAGGCGTTTAATGTGGTTTAATTCCCCCCGTTGCCAAGGGAACGCCGATCAACTTCCCTGGATGTCCCCAGGGACACAAACCCAGCTCAGGGAGGGATTGGAATCCCCCAGCGAATCCCACCGGGATCTGGGCTGGAACCGAGCCCGGGTTTAATTCTCTTTCCAGGATAAATCCACGGCCGGGATCCAGGATCCCAGGGACCCTCGGGATCAGCAGGGCAGGGATCCAGGAGCATCCCAGCCGAGATCCTGGGATGCCATCTACAGGGATAACGCCGCCCAGCACCGGGCCGGACACATCCCGGGAATGCGGGGCCGGGAACATCCCGGGATCCCCGAGCCTGCAGCCGGGAGCTGCTCGGGGCAGGAGCTCTTTGAAAATCCCGACCTGGGGGATGGCTGTGGGGCCGAGGGGAGGATGTGGAGCTGTCCTGGAAATCTCCAGAAGCACCGCCCAGACCCCCCTGGACACTTCCCAGGGCACAGAGGCTTCTCCCGGCACATTTTTGGGGCTCAGTGCCTTCCCCCGGCCGGGCGGGGTGCCCAGGAGCTCTCCCGAGGCTGGGAGGGATTTTGTGCCGCTCTGTTGTTACCCCAAACACAAATCCCGGCTCCCGTTCCCGGTAATTGCCTCCAATCCCATTCCCCGGCTCCCGTTCCCGGTAATTGCCTCCAATCCCATTCCCCGGCTCCCGTTCCCGGTAATTGCCTCCAATCCCATTCCCTTTCCCTTTCAGGAGCCCAGAGGTGCCGGGGAGGTTCTGCCCTGCACGGGAGCCCCGCTGAGCTCAGAAATTCCCGGGTGTTCTCCAGCTCCGGGCTGGATTCCAGCACATCGCCCTGAGCCAGCTCCGCCTCCCATCCCACTGGGTTTGGGGACCTCGGGGACCTTTTCCAGCCCTAAAGGTCAATGGTTCCATAAATGCTCCTCGCAGGGGCTCTGGGAGCCTGCAGGGAGCAGGAATTCCTTGGGATAAACACGGAATTCTCCAGGAACCTCCCCCATCTCAGCCAGGGAGCCGGGGCTTCCCGAGGGTTTGGATTCCCCATTCCTGGAAATGTCCAAGCCAGGCTGGACGGGGCTTGGAGCGACCTGGGATAGTGGGAGGCAATCCCAGGGATCCCAATGCCATGGATCCAAATCCCAAAGGTCCCAATCCCAAGGATCCAAATTCCAAAAGTCCCAATCCCAGGGATCCAAATTCCAAAGGTCCCAATCCCAAGGATCCAAATTCCAAAGGTTCCAATCCCAGGGATCCAAATTCCAAAGGTTCCAATCCCAGGGATCCCACAACCCCGAGCCCGTCCGGCCGCCCTGAGCTGGGCCAGCCCCTCGTGTCCTGAGCCCCTCGTGTCCTGAGCCCCTCGTGTCCTGAGCCCCTCGTGTCCACCCTGCCCGGGGGGACCCGTCCTGCTGCTCCTCATTCCAGCGGGATGAATCCCGCGGGTTTCCATGGCCTGGCCTTGCATCAGCAGCCGGGAATTCCTGCGGGGAGCAGCGACTCCATCCCCGGTGTCACCTGAGCCCGGGGTCACCTGAGCGAGCCCGACACGGCCCCGCAGCCGTTTGGGAGCAGCGGGGGGGATGGAGGAGCCGGAATTTTGGCTGGAATTGCTCTGCTGAGCGCCGGGCTGGCCAGGAATCCCAAAAACTCCAGCTCGGAGCCTCATTCCCTGGAAATGACCCGCAGAGGGTCCGGTCCCATCCCCGTCCCCAGTCCCTGTTTTGGGGTCTCTCCTGCGGCTCCCCGGGAGCGCCTGGCCCGGCTCGGAGCGTTCCGGACCCGCCGCATTCCAGAGGTGCCCTGTGAAGTGGGAATGCCCCGGGCCAGGCCGCTCCTCAATCCCGGAGCTGTGGGTTGGGAGAACTTTGGAAGAACAGGTCGGGGAAGAACCCGGACGGGGTTGGGAAAGAGGGGAGGGGACCTGGGGGGACCTGGGGGTGTCACCTCGGCTCCCCAGGGTCACCTCGGCTCCCGGCAGGGCCGGGCTGGGATAATCCCGGGGGGTTGGGAGCCTTCCCCACACCGGGAATTTTGTTATTTCTGCTCCAGAGGGACTCCGGGAAGGTCACGGGAGGTTTTCCAAGTGGAGCTGAATTCCCAAAGAGCCGAACCTGTCGCGACCTCCTGGCCCTGAATGGAGCTCCAGGAGCTCCTCTGTCCCAGGGAAGAGCCAGGGAGCAGCAGGATTCCCGGATTCCCGAATTCCCGAATTCCCGGATTCCCAAATTCCCGGATTCCCAGATTCCCGGATTCCCGGATTCCCGGATTCCCGGATTCCCAGATTCCCAGTCTCCCCTTTGGCCGCGCAGCAAATGCAGAGCTGGATAAAATCCCGGAGGGAGCTTTTCCATGAGCTCACCCCGGACCAGCACAGGGTGAGCTCATCCCCGTGACTCCAACGCCACAAACCCTGGAATCACGGCAGGGATCGGAGCCTGAGCCCATCCCGATCCAGCCCCGTGCCCCAGGCAGGGACAGCTCCCGGTGCCAGCCCAGCTCCTGCACTGGGATCGCACGTGGAGCTCCTGGTGCGGGCTGAGCTCAGCCAGGAGTGTCCCGGGAAGCCGAGGCCTCCTCCGGGATGTCTCCGTGCCCACGAGGAAGGAAGTGGAGGGGGATAAATCACCTCCTTATCGGGAATGTGGATCTGCGCAGGGATCCGAGCCCGGAGCTTTTCCTGCCAGCTCCGCGCTGGGGAGGCGGGCACGGCCCGGCCCGTGCAGGGAGCGCAATTAGCGCCGCCTGTTAATGAGGGTTCAACCCGCAGCCGGCAGGGAATTGGCCCCGGCTCCTCTCCCCATGGAATTGTTTGCTCAGGCACCATCGCGCTCCCAGCCAGGCCACCTATGGAGCGCTGCCGTTCTCCAGCGGGAAGGAAAACACCGCTCCAGACTGAGGCGGCACCTCCCGGAGCCCTCATCCCATCCCATCCCATCCCATCCCATCCCATCCCATCCCGGAGCCCCCATCCCATCCCATCCCACCCCACCCCACAGTCGGGAGCAGCCCCTTCCCCAAGGATCTCCCTCCACCCCTGGCACTCTGCTCGGGAAGTGGCACCTCGGGATGCTGGAAAACGTCCCCGAGCTCACACCGGGCTCTGCTGCCCTCCCAGATCCCCTTCCCGGCTGCCAGGCTGGGAAAAGCCGGCCCAGAGCAGGGAATAAACACCGGGAGAGCATTTCCCGGCCCTGGCACTGCCACCTGTGCTGTCCCTGGGTCTGTCCCCTCACCCTGGTGGCACTTCTGGGCTCCCCAGAGCCCCCAGGAAGCCTCTGGATGCCAGGCCTGGAAAACCCTGCCTGGGGCTGGAATTCCTGGTGGGCTCCATCCTCTCCTTCCTCTGGGACAGCAACAGCTCCCAAAATTCCGTGGGAATTTCCCAGGGCTCCATTTCCCCCCTGTGCTGCCCTTGCTGCTCATCCCAAGGAGAAATCCCAGGGATGGAGGCCTGGGAAGCGCTGGAGGGTGGAGAGGGAAATGTTGGAATCTCGGGAGGAGCTGGGACAGGGCAGGATCCAGGCCCAGCTTTGGAGCAGCCGGGATTTAATCCCTGTCCTGCCCCTCAGCCCCGCCGGGGGGGGAAAGGATCTTTCCCAAACCTCATCCCGAATTCCTGCTCCCCAGGCCCGATCAAACGGGATCCCGGGGTATTCCCTGGCTGGGGGCTAAATTTGGGAAGGAGTTTCCTGCTCTTCCCGGGGTGAGGGGGAGTTCAAAGCCCTCCTTTGTTTGTGGAGCCCTGGGCTGGGATTGGGATTTTCGGCTCCAGCCCTTGGGAACATTCCCTGGCCCTGGAATGTTCTCCGGGCCTCAGTTCCCCCTCTGGAAGGAGGATTTGTGGGGCTGGAGCATCCCGGAGGCTTCACTGGGACCTGTTCCCGTTCCAGGGCTCATTCCCAGCTTTCAACACGAACATTCCATGATTTTTTTTTGGTGCCGTGTCCCCTATCGGGCTCGGGATGTGCCCGGAGCTCCAGTCTTGGAGGAAATTCTGGAATGATCCCACCGGGGCGATTTTTTCGTGTCTCAGGAGCTCCCCGACCCAAACACGCCCGGGGATCCCGGGGGGAGAGGGAACTTCCCTGATTTCCTGAAGGGAACATCCCAGAGGAATGGTTTGACCCCAGCAATCCAAGAGAAACGCCCTGAGGAGATCCCTGGACATCCCAAACTCCAGGATTGCTCCCCTGTCCCGGCCGAGGCCTCGGCAGGGAATTCCCGTCCTCCCACCTCGGGCTCTTCTCCGTTCAGTCATTCCATGAAATCCCTGGGAGCAAAATCCTTATCGGAGTTTTCCCGGCAGTTCCCAGGATTCCCCGCCGGGAACGGAGACGCCGAACCTGCGCCGGGCTTTTGGGAATCCCGTCCTCGCTCCCTAAAGGATCCCAACCTTCCCTGGAGCTGGGAAAAATCGCCCCGAGCCTGGGTGTGATCCCAGAGAGGATCCCGGGCGTGTCCCGGGCGAGATTTATCGGGATTTATCGCCCCCCACCCGAGGGTCAGGAACTTTTCCAAGAGGTGATTCCTGGAGCCTCCTGCTGCTGTGGGAAAGGCTGGAGCGATTTTCCCCAGAGGAAAATCCCGGCTGGAGTTTCCTCCTGGCGGTGCCACCGCAGCGACCTGAGGAGCGTGGAAAACAGGGAGATCTGGACGGTGGGAACGGCACAAGGAAAAAAAAAAAAAAACAAACCAAAACAAAAAGCCGCTCCCAAAATCCCACAGAGAGGCCGCGCATCGCTCAGAAGCGGAGCAGGGAAGAATCCCGGAGCTCTGGAAAGGGTTAATCCCATCCAGGTGAGTCCTTTCCAAGCCGAACTCATCCCCATCCCGACCGCAGCCTCCAAATCCTGCCGGAAAAGCTCCGTGCTCTGCAAAGTCAGACTTGTTCCCGAGGAGCGGCGTGCCCGGAGCGGCTCCAGTGTCACCTGTCAGTGCCGGGGACGCCTCCAGGGATTTGGGATCGAGTTACGGGACAGGAACCGCCGCTGGAATTGGCCGCAGCTCCCGGCCCGCCGCATTCCAGCTAAAAAAAGGCGCCGGGCTTTGATGTCCCGCTCCGTCTGCACCGCACGGAGCCGGCGGGAGGGGCCGGAGCTCGCAATTCCCTGCTCCAGCCTCCTCCCAGCGCCGGGAATCAAAGGCGAGCAGGGGGCGGGCAGGGCGGGATGAAAGCGGAGCCGGAGCCTGGCACGGGGCGCGATCCCACAAGGAGCCGGTGCCGGGCTCCTCTCGGGCAGGGAAGGCTCCAGGAGCCCGGCCCGGCTGCGAGAAGGGAATGGGAATGAGCCTGGAGATGTTTCTCCGCTGCCCGGCTTTGAACGGCGGCCAGGGCGGCTGGAAAACAGCGCGTCCGTGGCTTGGGAACGGCTGTGGATCCTCCCCGGGACGGGCTCCGAGAGGGAATTGGACTCCCGGGAGCCCAGGGATGGCTCCAGGCAGGAATCTCCATCCCAAAAGGGGCAAATCCGGGTCAGGGCTCGGCCCCCGGGGCTGTTCCCTCAGCAGGGATGCTCCAGATGTCGGGAACAGCTGGAGCGCTGGGATGGGGCTGGGTGGGATTTCCTGGCTCCCTCTCGGGCTTCCTGCAGCGCCCCGGGCAAGCCCGGCTTTGTTCCCTCATCCCGGGGCCCATCCTGGCTTCTCTGGGATCATCCCTCCCTTTGCAGAGTCCCGCTCTCGTTCCTCGGCTCAGATTTCCGCAGAATTCCCAATTCCTGCGGCTGATGAGGGGCAGAGTTCCAGTTCCAAGCCCTTGAGGGCTGAGCTGCGGCTTCCCTGGCGGGAGGGGGAGCGGATGAACCACCCCGGGATTTGGGATCCAGCGCGGAGGGGCCCTGGGCTCGTTCCAAGCCCCGAGCCTGCTCCTGCCTGCAGAGGGAGCGGGCACAGGGAGCGGAGCCAGCCCCGGATTCCTTGGAATTCTGCCGCGGGATCCCGGCTGACGCCGCTCACGCCGTGGGTGGCGCAGCCCCCGAACCCCCCCCCCCTCCCCCGCCCCAAATTTCGGGATTTGGGATCATCGAGTTCAGCTTTGCACAGCCTGACGCTCCGTGGTGCTGGAGCCATCCCCGCCCTTCCAACCTTCCCCGGGGGATTTCACAATTCTTGGGAAAGCTGCAGCGTCCCCTGCTCCTGCTGGGCACGGGGTTACTTTGGGGTTTGGGAAGCTCGTGCAGAGAAGCCCAGAGCCGCTCCCAGAGCCGCTCCCAGCTCCATCCCCGGCGCGGGGCGAGGCTCCTCCCGCTGCTGCTCCCGCAGACCTGCGGGCACCGCCGGGAAACCGCGGTGATCCAAACAGAAAACAAAAAACACCGGGAAGGTTCCGCCACCGCGCCCCGGGACCCGGCGGGATCACTGCGAGATCCTGGATCCCCCTGCGGGCTCCTGGATCCCCCTGCGGGCTCCCGGATCCCGCCGTGCCCGGGCGCTGGAGCTGGAGCCGGGAATTCTGCGGGGCGAGAGCTGGAAGCGGCGCGGGGGGGGTGGAGACCAGGATTGGGATGGATCCAGGGACTGGGATTGGGATGGATCCAAGGACTGGGATTGGGATGGATCCAAAGACTGCGATTGGGATGGATCCTGCAGGAGTCCAGGGATTTGGCGCCGGCCTCGCACTGCTTGGAGCCTCCGGGGGATCCATTCCCGGCCCGGAGCATTCCCGGGGGAATCCATCCATCCATCCATCCATCCATCCATCCATCCATCCATCCATCCATCCATCCATCCATCCCTCCTCTCCTCCGCGAGGGAATGGGAACGGCAAAGCCGATCCTGCAGCCCGCGCTGGAAGGGAACAGGGATCGGAAGCGTTTATCCCGGAAAATCGGAGAGCCAAACTTCGGGATCAGTTCCCGCTGCCAAGGAAAACGTGGATTGGGAAATTGCGGTGGGAATCTGGCGGGGGTGAGCGGGCTGGAAACCGGGATCCAGCGGGAGTTAAACCCACCCGGGCATCTCCCCGTTCCCTCCCCCAGAGCGCTCGGGATCCAAACCCTGGGAGCTGTGGGGAAGGAAAAGGCTCTGCGGCCGCCGGAGCAGACTCCCTGGAGCTCCCTGTGCCATTGTCCCCCTGTCGCTGTCCCTCTGTCCCAGCCCAGCCCAGCGCTGGCTCCACAGCCCCATCCCAGCGGGAATTGCGGTTTCCCGCTGGTTTTGGAGCCGGGATGAGCAGCAGGAGGATAAAAGGCTTTTCCTGCCCGGCTAAATTTAAACCCGCGCCCCTTTCATGTGCCGGGGCCGTAACTGGAAGCAGCTGGGCTGGGAATTCTGCTCCAGAGGCGGCTCCAGGAGCCAAGAACGGGATGGGGCAGACGGGGATGGGATTGGATTGGATCGGGATTTGGGGATGGGATCTGCCCGGGGCTGCTCCAGGGGGGCTCCCGGGGTGTTTGGATCCGATCTGGGAGTGCGGGAATGCAAAAGCAGCTCCACATCCCGGAGCCAGGAGTGTCTGTGCTGCTTCTCCACCTCCAAGGATTCCAAAGGTTCCAGACCTGCTCCCGAGGGAACGGGCAGCATCCCCAGGGCAGCTCCCACCGGTGACAGCAAATCCCCAGTTTTGTTCGGTGGAAAAACCCCAGTTTTGCGAATACAAAAATAAAATTAAAAGGGGCTTGGAAAAAAAGGATTTCAGGAAAAAGAAGCTTTAAATCAGGAGAAATCCCAGTCCCAGGGCAGCACTGGGAACGGGGCCGGCCCCCAGCAGCACCTCCAGCATCAAATCCAGTTTTTAGGGACAACCAGGTGGGAATTTGTCCCCAGAGGGACAGACCGAGGTGCAGAGCACCCCCTGCTCCCCCAATTCCCCCCACCCCGTTTTCCCGGCCTGGCCCGGCCCAGCTCCCCCCATCCCTCCCGGCCTGGGAGCATTGGGAGCACTGGGAGCACTGGGAGCATTGGGAGCACTGGGAGCACTGGGAGCATTGGGAGCACTGGGATCGCTGGGAGCACTGGGAGCGCTGGGATCTCTGGGATCGCTGATGTCGCCGCTGGCCCGGGGCTCGCTGCCAGCCCAGCCCAGCGGCTCCTGCTGGTCCCGGGCCTTGGGAAGCCGGGATTTGCTGCTTCCCGAGCTCGGCACCTTCCCCGGCTCGTCCTGCGGGGGCCGCGGGCCCGGAACAGGGAGAGGAAGGGACACCAAAAATATCCCATAATTACAGAGGGCCAGGGCTGGGACAGCGGCAGCTCCGGGCTCTGCTCCTCAGGAACGGGCAGGGAGGAACATTCGGGAAAGATCCTCGATGGTCTGAGCCCCAAAATCCCCGGAGTGGCTGCGGGGAGTTCCTGGGGGTGTCAGGAAAAGGAGGGAGCTCTGCGAGAGCCCCTGGGATGTCCTGGGATGTCCTGGGATGTCCTGGGATGTTCTGGGGTGTCCAGGGATGTTCTGGGGTGTCCCGGGATGTTCTGGGATGTCCTGGGATGTTCTGGGGTGTCCTGGGATGTTCTGGGGTGTCTTGGGATGTGTTTTTTTGGTGGTAAAAGCTCATGCGAGGCCCTTTGTCTGCAAATTCCCATTTTTTCCTTGTCCCGCTGGGATGGAGCCCAGGAGCCACAGCAGCGATTGCTGTCGTCAGTTTGGGATGAGGATCCATCATCCATGGATCCAGGATCCCTCCCTCCATCCCTCCCCCTCCGCAGTGACTCACAGGGAGCAGCAGCTCCCGGTGAATCACCAGGAAAACTTCCTGATCCAGCCGGATCCGCGGGGAGAACTCCCCTGGAGAACCCCAAAATCCAGGCCAGGCCCAAACAGTGACAGATCTGGGGGGGGTCCGTGCAGAGGAGCCTTTCCCAAATAATCACAGATCCATGGAATGGTTATTGGGATCTGGGGGATCCCATTTGGGATCACCTGCCCCTGTTCCTTTGGGAATATCCTCACTGGCAGAGCAGGAGACAAAAAATAAAGGGAAAAAAAGAGTCCCTGAGCTGGGACAAACCCCAGGCACGGGTGCATTATCCACAGCATTCCCATCCCAATCCCAGCCCAGCACTGGGAGCAGCCCAGCAGGAATTCCCAGTCCCAGCTGGGAATGGTCTGGGCTCCCTCTAGGAATGGGGAAT